GTATACTGTGTAAAAAATAGTGGCAATTGTGTAATAATAATAAAAAAGTCAGGGTAATTTTATAGTGATATGATTATTTATGAAAATGAGACTATTATTTTGGGACGAACAAAAATGATAAATATGACTATTGTATTGGAATGGAGGGAATATATAATATTAATGTGTGTATATTTATATTTTTTAAATAATATTTATGGTAATTATTCCATTAAAAAATATAAGTTAACAATAGTATCTTGACAAAATAATAATAATAATAATAATTTATGTAACTTTAAGTCATGACATATCATTAAGATTAAAAAGTCTCAACAACCACAATTAATTTTAATAAAACCCAAATAATAATAATAATAATAATAATAATAATAATAATAATAATGATAATAATAATCAATAGTTAATTTATTATGTCTACAGGTTGATAGTGACAAATCCTACAAGGATTAATACACGTTGGATTGTTCACTTTCATAATATACTATATATTGTTCTCAATAAAAGTATTTAAAAATAATAAAAGAAATATATTGATAATATTTTTTTTATATATATTTTTATAATTAACAATAAAAAATTTAGAATTTTTTAAATACTAATATGATGTTTGCCGAATAGATTTTTTTAAGAGCTTTTAACTTATTGAAATTTTTTTATTTATTTGATCAGTAAACCAACTAATTTAGATATTAGTAAATTAGCATTTTAAAATATTGTTTCGGATTAAAAAAATGGCTTTGTTTACCCTATACACTTTCACTCATTTGACACTATTTATTTTTAAAAAAATATCACATCAAATACTAGCTATTTACTTTTTCCAAATTTCCAAAAACTTCTATCTAAACAAATTTTTGAAACGATGCATATCTCAACGTTTCATATTAACTGTTTTTTTTTAAAAAAAATAAAGGCTAAACTATTTTTTTAGTACCGTAACTGGACCCCTTATCATTTTAGTCCCGTAAGTGGAGCCTGTCGCAAACTAGTTCCATAAGTGAAAGTTTTTCGTTGTTTTAGCCCTCCGGCGCCGGAGACGCCCGCGTGGCTCGCCGGAGGTGACGTGTCAGTCAGGTGTCCCACCAGGTCAGCGACACCTGGCGGACACGTGGATTTATTTTTTTTTTTTCAATTTTTTTTTAAAAAATTAAATCAAATTAAAAAATTAAAAATATATAAATAAAATTAAAAATAAATTAAAAATAAGTTTTAAAAAATAAAAAAAAAATAAAAACAAAATCCACGTGTCCGCCAGGTCAGCGCCATGTGTCGCTGACCTGGCTTACACGTCACCTCCGGCGAGCCACGCGGCCGTCTCCGGCGCCGGAGGACTAAAACAGCGAAAAATTTTCACTTATGGGACTAGTTTGCGACAGGCTCCACTTACGGGACTAAAATGATAAAGGGGTCTAGTTACGGGACTAAAAAAACAGTTTACCCAAAAATAAATTATTCATTATTTGTCTTTAAAACTTAATGCTTTATTTCACACACGTTAATATATATTTTATTACACTATTTGCTAATTATTTGAATTTTTCTAATAATTTATAAATTTAAAATAATTGAAATTATCTTTTATATGTAAATTACTATTTTATTTACAAATTTTTAAATTTATTAAAATAATAAAATATTACTTTTAATAATTTATTTTTATATAATTTATCACAAAATTTTATTAAAAGATAAATATATTTATGTAAAATTATAAGTTTAATAAAAGAATATACAAATTATTTATACTTTTACATTTATATTATTTCTAATGAAAAAATAATAAAAATACATTAATTTTCTTACCGAATATTTTAAAAAATATCAAAAGTAGATATATTTCATAATTTTCAAAACTAATAATAAAAATTCTTAAAAAATCTTACATAACGAAATAATTCAGCTAAATATTTTTAAATAAAAGAAAAAATATCCTTAATTGTTATTTTACATATAAATAATTAATATCAAACAATTACTTTATCAAACATTTTAGCATAAGTAACTAATATATTTAGCTAATCAAACTAGCTAATCGAAATGAAAAATCTACTAAAAGAAAATTTACAATTAATTGTGAAACAATCTCTAAAAAAAAAAAAATATAACTAAAGTATTTAGAATTTGATTTTTTTTTTTTAAAAAAGAAAAATATATTTTAAATTGATACTTTGAATATAAAAATATTTTCATAGTATTTTTGTTTAACATATATTCTCTCCGTTTATTTTTTATACTAAATTTAATAAATATTATATTTTAATAATAATTAGTACTATTTATATATATATATATAATGTTTACTTTATTGTATATTTTAATTTGATGTAAATTTGAAACAGTAGAATATATACTTATTAAAAAATAAATAAATACTTTTGGAGTTCACATATAAAATATATGATAAATTTTAATAATACCACCGGTACTATATACATTTCGTAAAAAATATGTTATATTTAGTTTATTGGATACTTAACATATATTAAAAAAAATGTACAAAATAATAGTACCCCCGTCCAATTAGAAAATATATATTTTTTTATTTTGGGATGTCCAATTACAAAGTAAATATTTCATTAAATACCTCATTTTTTTTTTTCACAAATACCTTTACTTTACATCACATAATTACTTTTATACTAAAAAACAAAGACAAAAATGTCATTTTACTACTTTTAACTACCCACCGCTCCAATAGTAAATACCCTCACATGTGAATAATTTACTCAAAACAAATAAGTTCTCATGGGACCGTTGGATTTTTTTATCGTGAGGTCATGGGTTCAAACTCCCGACGCCTCCATTTAGTGAAAAATTGTTTGTTTCAAACAAATTATTCACGCCTACAAATGTATTTACTTTTTTTTTTTTATAAAATATTTGATCATACATAAGTTTGTATTGAAATTTACTCTAAAAGAGATATATATATATATATTTGTAAATGAATAAAAATAGATACGAAAATACAAACAAATGCACCATACAATCAATTATGAATATATAGTTTGCAAGATATTAGATTTGGCCGAATATTTATTCGGTGCACACTTTCGGATAGCCGCTGCGGATTCTCGTATTAAAAAATTAAAAAATAAAAAATTTATGAATGTATACTATTCTATAGTTTACTTAATAATGTCAATTATTAATTTTTTTCCACGTGTTATACAAAAAAATAATAAATTTCAATCTTAATAATGTTTGTGACATGACACGACTAATATGCAATTATTAGACCAAATTAAGCCATAATATTTCATTTAATTATCCTAATCTTGTAAATGTAATAAAGCTAGTTTATTTATTTAAGTCTAGCTAATTAAATGTCACTTTTGAAATTTGTGTAATTTATTATGCACATTTATACCAAACCTATTTAAAGTACAATAATATTTTATATACAGGACTAATATCCATTGGACAAATAGGTTAAATAGGCAATGATAATAATATTGCTCAAACTTTGGAGCAATTATGGGTTTGTTTTGTATTTTATTTTAATTTGAATTTGTGTAAATAGACGTTGGGTACAAACCCAAGTCCCACATCCAAAATTGTGAAAATTTTTTTACACCTTGTAAGTTTTAAGTGAACTTCGCTAGTACGAGACATTTTGAAGAATATCAAAAAATAAATCTGTACGGACTCAGCCCAAAACGAACAATATCATACTAGTTGAGTTGACCCAATTCCAACAATATATATATAAAAAAAATATACTTTCTCCATCTCGTAAAACCGTGGACATTTGTTAATAGGATATTAAAAAAAAAGGTAACTATACATCTTTAAATTTTTACCCACTATTTTTTCATCACAATTTCTATTTATGACCATCTATTGTTTTTTTACATGCTCTACTTTAATTTAAAAATTATATTAGTAATCCTACAGAATGTAAATTTTACTCTTTATAAAAAATAAAATAAAATAATATTAAAATACTATTTTTTATAATCTTTGAACCAAAAAATTTTGAGCGTACTTTTATAAGATGAATAAGTATTTACTATTTTCTCTAATAAAATATTCATATTAAAATACTATTTAAACTAAAATTAATGTATTTACTATTTTCTCTAATAAAATACTATTTAAACTAAAATTAAAATTAAAATCAAATAAATCCTATGGCTTTGTTTGTCCAATGAAAATTTCTCGGACATAATTTACAATATATATATATATATTCTACACTTTTATAAAAAAGTCAACTTTGTATTTTTTCTAATGTATATATTTTTTATGTTATATATATATATGAGAAATTCAGTTGGCAAAACAAAAATAATATTTTGTGTTCAATTATTAAATTTTTGTGAATGTATAAAATATATTTATTATATATATATTTTGTTAATGTGATTATATTGTAATTTATAATAATATTTATGAAAAAACGTTTTAGACCTGCCCAAGTTTGGTTCAAACCGCCGGTTACCGTTTGTCAGAATTTCAAACTGAAATCGAACATTTCGAATAACGATTTTTGATACGATTTGACAGTTTCGGTTTATAAACGGACGGTTTATATAAATTCATTTTTAATATAGTTTTTTTATTTTTCTAAATTTGAATTTTATTTAACAATAGTTAATTTTATGTTTGATATTATTTATTTATTATATAAAAAAATTATAAATAATAATTAATTATATTGTAATAATATAAAAATAATTAAAATAATAATATTAATAAATAATTAAATTATTTTTTAATTTAATAATATATAAAAATAACTTATAAAATTATTAACGTATATATTAAATAATAAGATAATTTAAATTAAATATAATTATATTTTAAAAAATGTTGAAAATAAATAAAGAAAATAATATTATAGTATTATTATTTTTAATATAATTAATAATTATTTATTTTAATTGATATTAGTATTATTTTATTTATATAAAAATTTAATATTAATATATTAAAATTTTAATTAATACTTTACAAATACTTTACAATTTACACATCTACACTTCAACAGCAGCCGCATGCGTACCGGACACTTTCTTCTCTTTTCTCTTTTTTTTCTCGAACTTCTTTCCTTTTTCCTCCTCCTTCTTCGCCAATTTTGATGGGTCCGTGCTTAGTCTGATGACAGGTGACAAGGGAAATTAAAAAAAAAAAAATGCCGAACAGCCGGTTCAAAGCCGGTTCAAACTGTAAACCGCCAATTCACGGTTTGGGAAAAACTCAAATTGAAACCGAACCGTCCAAACCACGTTTTAGGTACGATTTCGGTTTGAACCGTAACGGCCGGTTTGAAACCGGGGCAAATCTAAATCATTTTATCCAAAAATACTAAATAAACAAATCCGATAGTTTGTTTCATAATTGATCTTATATTTTAAATTTCCTTTTTCTTCTCATCTATTTTCCTAAAAAAAATTTAAGGTAAGATTTACTTGTAATCAATAGATAACTTTTTGGGTATCGGTTTATTTCCTATATATGTACCTAATCTTAATGCTATAAAATCTCATTTTCCTTAGAAAAAAAAAAAAAAAAGAGATTGTCTTTCATGTTAAATTAGGAAACAAAACTATTCCAAATTGGGTATAAAATAACTCCTATAAAATAGGAACAGAAACCCTATTGGTAATTAACTCATGGATTATATGTAGTAGGCTTTGCTCTTCTTTTTCTTAAATGAATTTAATTAATATATAGAATTCAATTTTCTTTAACTAGGCATACATAAACAACTCTACAAAAGTGGCTTAATAGTGTGTATGAATTAGGATTTCATCTGACCAATACGAAAAAAAGACAAAAAAATATTTTTTTACTTCTACTTGATAATTTTTTTACTATGTAGTCACCATGATTTTTTATAAATATATTATTTATCTTTACAAAACAATACATTCAACTTACTATTTAAAAAAAAAAAAAAAAAAAACTAAACAAATAAATAAAAATAAATCTATTATTAATAACACATCTGTCATTTTATTTACTGTATTTTGACTCTAATAGATTGTAATTTTTTTTTTAAAAAAAAGTCATATCAAATATATTTAGTAACGGTGGATTACAATGACAGTTTAGATAATATAAAATTAATGAATGTGTGTAATATTTTACTTTTTTATTAGAAAATGTATTATTATTGTTTTTTTGACAAAAAATATACACCTTAAATTTTCCAAATCTTTTATCGTCAAATAGATCATATTTAATACAAAATATTATATTAATTATTATTTTTTTATTCAAAAAAAATAAAACAAAACAAACTTAAGAACTAAAAAAACAGAAGATATTTTTCAAAGAATAGAATTATTAAAGCTACTATTCTCCAACTGTCTAATTAATTCAGCTGCTGCTTTTAGTAAACAAAAATAATTAACATTCAAAATGGTCCATTAAACATTAAATGAAATTAGTTCTGAGTTCCTAACTCAAATTCACATTTCATGCAGCTGTACACATCTTTTTCATTTATAAATACGAGGGACATTTTTCTATTTATGCATTTCAAATAAGATAAACATTCCCTAAAACAGAAGAAAAAAAAAAAAATTAAATTCAAATGAAAACTAATTAAATAATTATTGATAAAATCAAAATAAAAGATTTTGGCGAAACAAAATAAATGATAATACTTGCAAGATCAAAGTAGACTATAAATAGCATGCTTGGGCAGGTTAGCGCGGTAGTATGACTACGAGTATACATGCAGGTCTACCGAGCATGTATATTTTTTTCCAAGTATCAATTATTTTGAAAATTTACTTTTTAATTAGCGCCCAATAAATTTGTTAAGATGCATAAGTACACTAAAATTTAATTTTGTCGCACCATATTCTAGTTTAGAGGGAAACGTACTCTCAAATATGTCCGTTTGTAATTCAAGAGTTGTTCTCCCGTGCTTTCTCATTCTTGTATTTTTGGAGCTCTTCTTGTGTGCGAACGAACCTACACGAGATCAATTGCAATTTCAATTTAATTATATAGAGTATGTGTTGTTTATTATGTATAAAGTGTGGAGCAAATACCTTAACCGCAAATCAGTTAACTCGTTGATCAACTCCTTTTCCCGGTCATGAGCTATCTCTAGCTACAAAACACAAAATCGACTATTAAAATGATGTAGGCCGAAAAGCTATCATAAATATTGTTAACACAAATAAATAGAAAGATACATAAGAAAGATACATAGAAAAGGGAAAAAGCTGAATTTGCATTTAGAAAGTGGAGTTACAAAGTTCTAAATTCGAATTCAGACGAAAAATAAAATTCCTACCGCTGATTTCTCCATCGTTGAATTTGTTGGCAGACTCCCTAAAGCAGTAAACATAGAAAATGAAGAAATTCGACAATATATATGAACATATTATAGAGATCTGCTATTTTTATAATTAATCGTGGATACCTGAGGAAGTACCAACGGATATCTGCTTCATTACTTTAAGAATATTTTCCTGTAAAGCGAAGGAGAATTAACAGAGGAAGCTGTCAGGGTTCACGAGATTACGAAATAATGAAGAAAATTAGAGAGAGATTGAGTCGAGAACGACTACCCTTTGAGCAATGTTTGCCTGAAGAATAGAATTTAAAGTTGGAAGAATGCAAGTGCTACAAGAATTTGACGGGGTGGAACCAAGACACAATGGTGATGAAACTGCGGAAACTGGAGCAGAAGCGGGAGCTAGAATAGTAGGAACCGGTGCCGAAACTGGAGTCTCAGAAGTCACCTAAATATCCAAAATGTTCTTTCTATCATATAGATGCACATATTGTATTTTCTAAATATTTTTTTGATACCAATGTGTCGACGACTGTGATAATGTTCATGATACACACAAAAAGGATATGCTTAGTCAATATAATGCGCATAAGATGACAATGGATTCAACGGTAACTCTCTGTGCACCAAATGTGTCGAAGGGAATCAATAAGAATATAGTGACAAATAAAATCAAAAAATTATGCTTGAATGACGCGCACATATAGATAATCACGCGAGATTTCACCAACCTGCATGCTATGTGTCTTCGGTATTATTAGAGATGGAATTGTCTGCATGGGACAAAAGAAATTAAATATAAATGTGAAGCAGATTTTCACAAGTCACGAAGAAATGAATATTTATTTACCTTTTCCAGTGCTTCAACGTTTCCTGATGTAACCTTGAACCGTCCTTTTTGTTGAACAACCTGAGTCTTTACTTTCTCATCGACTTCATGGCCATTAACTGTATGATAAATTGAAGTTTGACAAAGAAACTACCAGAAATTAAAGGATTGAGCTCAATACTCCGATTATTAGAGGTTGCTTGCCTGATGGTTTCGACACTTTGTTGTGTACTTCTGCAATACTTGACGCTTTAATAGGGCTACATGATAAATTTTGTAAATGATTTGAAAAACAGTCATTAGATATGAATTTGAAAAAAGATATTTAAGTAAATTTTTGCAGATTATACCTTAGTTAGGATTTAATGTGCCTACTACTGAAAACATAAAAACTATTTTCAAAACCATATTAAATTCAATTATATATATATTTACTTTCATCGGGTTTATCCATTAGGTAAATTATTTTTTAACTATATAGTCATCACGATATTGTATAAGTATATTATTTATATTTACAAAACATTACATTTAATTCACTACTTAAAAAAATTAAACAAATAAATAAGAATAAATCTATTATTAATAATAGATTTATCATTTTATTTACTTGTATTTAGTCTCTATTTAAATAGATTTTTTCTATTGTTAAATTATTAACTAATAGTAATATTTTTGAAAAAACAAAACTTATATCAAATATATTTTTCTATCATGAATGGCGGGTACTGTTTATCTATCATTTTATTTACTTGTTGTTGATGTAATTTTTCAACAAAAATAAAGTAAAATTCAAAGATATAGAAAATATCCTTAAACTTGATTAATTAGTGCCTGAGATTAGGAATCTCTAAACACTGTATGGTACAGAAAATAAACTGGAAAATAAAAGACTGAAATTTAAAGTGGTGATCCCCAAATCTGACTTTGCTTTGTTGAAGTTGATTGAAGATCCCTTGCCAAATGATGATCCAAATCCTTAAATATTCCCTGGGAAACCGTACTGAAAACCGTCACCCGAACGGTTACAACGTCTCCTTCTCAACCGTCTTCCAACCTTTCTTATGCTGACACGTGTCCCCAGCAGACCAAAAATTCCCTATATTTCACTCCTTGAGCCGACCACAGACCTTCCGCTCTTTTGGCCCGACTGCCAATCTACAATAGTATGGGTCCGACCGCCAATCCTCCCGACTTGCGAACCATCTGGCTTGAGGTCTTTCCGCCTTGAGGACTTCCCGACCTGAAAACCTTCCGACTTGAGGTCTTTCCGCCTTGAGGACTTCCCGACCTGAAAACCTTCCGACTTGAGGTCTTTCCGTCTTGAGGACCTCCCGACCTGAAAACCTTCCGACTTGAGGTCTTTCCGTCTTGAGGACTTCCCGACCTGAAAACCTTCCGACTTGAGGTCCTTCCGTCTTGAGGACCTACCGACCTGAGGTCCGTCCGTCCTAATGACTTTCCGTCTTGAAGACCTACCGACCTGAAGACCTTCCGACCTGAGGTCCTTCCGTCTTGAGGACCTACCGACCTGAGGTCCTTCCGTCCTAATGACTTTCCGTCTTAAGGACCTACTGACCTGAAGACCTTCCGACCTGAGGTCTTTCCGTCCTGAGGACCTACCGACCTGAAGTCCTTCCGTCCTGAGGACCTACCGACCTGAGAACCTTCCGTCCTGTATTTTCCTTAGAAATAAATAAATAAATTTATTTTCCTTGATTTCCTCACGGTGTCCTTCAGCCAGTTCAATCAACCCTATTGCCAGGCCCATTCTTCTTTTTTACCTTGGGCTTTTAACCTAATTCTAAATTTCGTACGTAACAACTTGCCCGCCGCCAAGGGACTTTCAAACGCCATTTAACAATCAATGTTTGGAAGTTCATAAATCACTACCCTCTTGAAAAACTCCCTTAGCAACTGCACCAGTTACTGAAACACGCCTGATAAACTTCCATCTTCGCAATACAAGCCTGTGTGAATCACAATCCCAAAACATTCTAACTATGGCGAATCAATACATGCCTGCCCTTCCTTTCGACGGAACCCTTCCAGAAGGTCCATTTTCAGCCTCGAAAGTACTAACTCCGACGATCCGTCCATATTGCACTACTCCTGAAGATTCATATCACGAAAGCTCTGGTTGATGATGCCATTCAGAAAAAGGAGGCAGAATTGCGGGAGCTGAGGAAAGAACAGTCTACCCTGGATAAGCAAATTACCAATGAACAGCATCTGCTTGAGAAGTATACCAAAAATGAGGCTGAATTGGATCAAGAGCTGAAAACCCAAGCCCGATCCCAATTCATCAGAAGATATCAGACGGCTGCCATTACCAGAAGGCTATCCAGGGATGAAAACAAATGGACACAAATAAAAACTGCCCTAGGGGCACTGTTGTAATATTTCCCCCTTTGTAACAACAACTGACTTAGTAATCCATTTTTTTCTTTCTTCTCTCAAAACAAGGATCACCTTTCAATTCCCAACTTTATAGGAAACGAACCAAACTCCTTCTTTAAAAGAACACTGTTTCTCACATTTTAAGAAACATATTCCCAAGCATATTTTAAAAATCAAAACACTGAAAGTGTGAACAAACATGGCGAATGACCGACCTCATGTTCCATCAAGCAACTGGGAGGGTGTTCTTCAACCCTTCTTTGTAGGTAATCACCCTATTGGAGGCCATGCAGAAGACTTGTTATATATACTCAAGCAACTAGACTTCAAATTCCGATTCTCCCAACGAGGTAGAAGAACTATTCATCGCGTCATCCTCCTGATGGAAAAAGTCATTGAGGGGTATGAACCTCTTCATGACATCCTCAGCCGCATCCCTGATCTCCATCATCACATGGAAATGATTGAAAATCATGCAGCAACCATACTTCCAGACCTTGGTTGGGATAACATATTTTCCAATCAACGAAAAGTCTTTTCAAGATTGCGTACCATTGTTGACCGTGAACATCAAGCCCTAACAGACATGCAAGCACGTACCCATCAAGATCTAGATGACATGCAAAGCCAATGGGAAAGGTACCGACCAGACTTGGAAGATCTTATTGAAGAAGAACCAGAGCTAATATCCACTCACTGGGATGAAAAGTCTGATTCAGAGACAGAAAATTTCTCACAACTACACGATGACTAACAGAAATGAACCTTCCAGTAGGTTCGAACCCCCATAAATGGGTTCTGAATAATATGTGGTTTCAGGCAGTTTTGTTATCTGAAAAGGCAGGATAATACCTCTTCAGATATTTAGCATTAATACAATCATGTACTCTTCTACCTTCATGATTTACAATAATGAACGCGCCATTTCCAATATCTTTTTGAACAATGTATGGTCCTTCCCAATTCGGTGACCACTTTCCCAATTGATCGGTTTTCTTATATGTAGGAAGAATGGTCTTCCAGACTAGGTCTCCTTTTTGGAATGTCCTGTGAAGAACTTTCTTTCCATAACTCCTTGCTCTGATTTCACTCTGTTTCACACTTCGATCTATTGCATGGAGACGGTTAACATCCAAATCTTCTAACTGCTGCAACATAATTTGTTGGTATTCCTTTGTAAGATCACTATCAGTAAATTCTGTTCGGCCAGATGACACTCGAATTTCGGCTGGTAAAACAGCATCTTGGCCAAACGTAAGTTGGTAAGGTGAGAACCCTGTGGCCGTATTTCTGGCATTTCTATGTGCCCATAAAGCCTGAGACAATAACAAATGCCACTTTCTTGGGTTCCCTTCAATCATCTTCTTTATAATCCCAATGATAATCTTATTTGCTGCTTCCGCCTGTCCATTGGCTTGGGGATAATATGGTGAAGAATGATGTAACCGAACACCGAATTCTGCCAAGAAATTAGAGAACTTTTCCCCTGTAAAGACCAAGCCTTGGTCGGTTGTTATAGACTGAGGAATACCATATCTGTAAATAATTTGGTTCAAAACGAAGTCTATCACTTCTTTCTGATCCACATTTTTCAAAGCAACTGCTTCCACCCATTTGGTAAAGTAATCAGTCGCGACCAAAATGAAACAGTGATGTTTCGATGAAGCAGGATGTATCTTACCAATAATATCCATAGCCCACGATTTAAAAGGCCATGGTTTTGCCAAGAATTGCAATTCGGTTACTGGCAAATGATTCAAGTTTCCATGTCTCTGACATTCCAGGCAGCCTTTTGCAAATTGTATGCAATCCTCAAAAATCTTAGGCCAGAAAAAACCCAAGCGATGAATGGCCCATCTCATATTGAGACCTGCCCGATGAGCTCCACATATCCCACCATGTACTTCTGTCATCACTTCTAGAGCTTCTTTAGATCCCAAGCATTTCAAAAGTAAACCTTCAAATGATCTCTTGTACAAAATTCCATTTATCAATTGAAAACGTAAAGCCTTCAATCGTGTCGCAATTGAAACACTCGCACCAGGATTCTGTAAATACAGGATAAGCTCTGTTCTCCAATCGGACACTGTTTCGCCATCGGACTTCTGTCCGATAAAAACTTCGTAATCGGGCTCCTGTCCATTATCCTCTTGCCCGACCGTAACCTCGCAGTCGGACTCCTGACCGATATCCTCTTGCCCGACCGCAACTTCGCAGTCGGGGTCCTGTCCGATATCCTCTTGCCCGACCGTAACTTCGCAGTCGGGGTCCTGTCCGATAGTCTCCTGCCCGACCGTAACTTCGCAGATCGGGTCTGTCTTTCCTTCTATGCCCGACTTGACCTCCGACCACATATCCTCCAGAATTCCTTTACATGCCCTTTGAGCCAATTCATCAGCACGTTGGTTTTCTTTCCTCGGAATGAACTCAATTATTACCTCTGAGATTCTTGTCAGTAGCCGACTCACAATGTCCCTATATCTGCGAAGATGAGGGAAATTGCACACATATTGATTGTTTACCTGGTTGACTACTAATTGAGAATCCCCCCTTATGATTACAGACTGGACCTTCCTGGCAATTAAAGCCTCCAAACCCAAAATTAAAGCTTCATATTCTGCCGAATTATGGGTCATGGATTCCAATCGTAGTTGTAAGTTGATCTTTTGACCATCAGGTCCTTGCAAAAAGACCCCTGCCCCCGATTTGTTTCCAGAGGTAGAACCATCAAAGAACATCAACCATGTTCTGGTACTTATATAAGGCACACATCCGACCTGTAGATTATCCAGATATGATGCACAACTAAATGGTCGGACACTATCACAAAGAGAATACCCGACTTGTGAGAATTCTGCCA